AATATGACTATTGATCAATCATTTTTTCATTCAGTATCTAGCAATATAGTATAGTATGGGATAGAAAGCTTTTAAAATAAAATTACGTTCCATAGTCACATTACAAAAATCTAATGTTTATTATAGTAACTGTTTCGATGACTCGCAAACATTTACAGTACTGTATATAATAAATTATTTTATTTAAAACTTCATGAAATTCAAATCTTTCTGTTCTTATTTGAGTATAAATTTTCTACACTGCTTCTGAACGCTTTAGCCTTTCACTTTCATCAAGCATGTGTACATGATCAGGACTTCCATTATATTGTTCTACTTGCACTTTTTGTGCACTAACAAAATGTAGCACCCAGATTTTTGCGAAGCAGAGATTGGGGGAACAGACCTTTGTTTTTTGATATTTTTCAACAGGAATTCCTTCCTTTCGACCACTTGAATGATTATGCTTCATTAATCGGCATGCAAATGTCTTCCAAGAATTACCATTGGTGTGGTTTTTATAACTGAACCTTGTCCACACATTTGTAATGAGTGGCTACCATTCACTATCGAATTCATTCATTGATACTTCAAATAGTTCACCAACATTGAAGAGAAGCGCTTGCCTTTGATCAGGAGTTGTAGATTGCGAAGTGTAAACTTTGATCCCTTTATGTACTGTGGATGTTTCATCTGCTACAGATATTGCTTGTACCTCCTTATTTTCTTCTTCACTATCATCCAACACAATCACATCATTTTCCTCCAACACAGTCTTTTTGTTTCCCACCAAAACTTCACCTTCGTCAACTTCAATTTCCTCAAACACATTGTCTTCTCTTTCAACAAAGTTACTAGCCATATTAAAAAAAAAAAAAAAAAAAAAAAAAAACTATATTATATAAAAAAAAAAGAAGCCACGAAAAAATAATTTGCTTGCAATTCAACTACAGAACTACAATACAACGAATGTGCTCTGCTCACTAATCAATAATATAGCAGTAGTATTTTTGAAAGTGCTTTCAACAATATATTATAATTCAGTAATAATACGTAGTAAAAAAAGTCTTAATAACTTTTTATTGTTTGTATATAACTGATACAACTGCAAAGAAAGAGGATTTGGAAGGAAAAAAAAAGGAGAGATTCTTTAAAAAAAAAAAGAGAGAGAAGAGATTCCTTTAAAAAAAAAAAAAAAAAGAGATTCCTTTAAAAAAAAAAAAAAAAGATTCCTTTAAAAAAAAAATTTGTAGATTCTACTAAATACTGAAAAAAAAATCAGGATCACCATGTCTCCCATAATTTTCCATATTATGGGTAATTTTATGAGGTGTTAGGCTTTAAATGACTCCTGAAAAAGGCGTGAAAATAAACGTTCAACTGTTAGTGAACTAATAGAAAGAACCCGAAATACATACTGGAAAAATAGAGGATGAAGAAGCCCAGAAGAAAAATCAAAATTTATTAAAAATTTAAACAATTCTTAAGATTTATTTTAATTAAATAAATTTTATTGAAATACATAATTATACCAAATTAACATAGGGTAAAACCCTATACCGGGTGTTTCAAAAGTTCTACTACTGGTCCAATATCGTAATCTTATAAAAAAATTAGACAACTTTTGAAACACCTAGTATGTTAGGGTAAGGGTAAGTAGATATTATAGCATCATAGTTGTTTTAATCTAACGCAAATTTTAATTCGACTCAACATTGTTCATTCCACGAAATTATACATCATAGCTATATCATTATTTTATAAAGTATAAGTCGCAGTAATTAAACAGAAAAAAGAAGAAATGCCCAGTTTTCAAATCTTAATGCGATTCTATATTTCACCTAAGCTAGATACAAAAAATATTAGCACATGCTAAAAAGAATTAAAATGAAATAAACAAAAAAAAAAAATTTAATACAGTCAACTCTTTCTATAACGAACTGAAGATTCTGGAAGAAAAAAAGTTCGTTATAGGAAAATTACTATGTTTTCTTAAGAACCCACGCCACTTTTTATACTAAAATTTTAAAATTTTTGTGTTCATTATATCCAGAGTTCGTTATAGAAAGGTTCGTTATATCCATAGTCGACTGTACTTATCTCTGGTTCTGTTCTCAGTTCCAAACCAAGTTAAGATTTCTGTTAACCAACGTGAATTAATACCCGCCAAAGTCCAGAACCCCCATTGCCAGTTTTTTTTACATTCTAATAAGGTCAAAGCCTACAAGAAAAAAAAAATTATTATCTGCAAAGAAAAATAGTAATGAATAAATAAAAAAAAAAAGGAATTAGTACTTAACTTCAGCCGTAGTTCTTATTTTCCACCAAAGTTCAAAACCCCATCACTAGTCCATTTTCGCATTCTAATGAAGCCAAAACCTACAAAAAAAAAGATGATATTAATATCTGCCGAGAAAAGATAGAAATAAATAAATAAATAAAAGAATTAAATAAATAAAAGAATTAATACATATCTTCGGCCATAGTTCTTATTTTCTGCTAAA